TATATATATATATATATATATAAGTATTTATGTAGGTTGAATATTAGCAAGTACAAGTATACACAGAGACGGATACTATGATTCTTGTACCCACCTTATTAACATGCGGGTATCAAAAATACCCATACTCATTACCTGCGGATATCCATTTAGAAATTTCATTTTCTACCAATTGTATATTTTATCCATAGATACTCGCATGTATAGATTTTTTTGACATCCCTAGCTTAGATCAAAGTACATTTTTTCTTATGCTTTGTTTGGAGGAGGGCAAAGAATTGGAAGGAATGAAAAAAGATAGGTGAAAATTGATTTGATACGAAATAATGTAAAATTTGAAATTATTTAGTAGAGTGGAGTTATGTGAGAAATAGAGAGAAATTGGTATTTTAAAATTGTATTTTATGATTTTTATGTAAAAATATATTATTTAAATAATTATATTTTTACTCTTTACTAATTATTTAAACAATAGTGTAGTGGTAGTCTTGTCTAAGCATTTTTTTGTGGAAAATTTCACACAAACCCACCCATAAGACAGTGGAATTAAATCCACAATTTCCTCACAAATTCACTTAAATCATCTTTTCTAAATATACATTTTTTTTTAATTCCTTGGTAATTCTTCATTTTCTTCTACATTCCCTACTAAATCACCTCCCCTACAGACACCATAAGTGTTAGAAAGGTTGTAACAAGACTTTGAAGGATGACTAAGGTGAACTTACATAAGACATTAGGTGAGAGGTATTTTAAATTATAAATTAATTTAGATCATACAAATAATAACAAACTTTAAATCAAAATTAGACAACTTAATTAGATTAAAAGATTATATAAACAAAACTACCACATATATAATGTTATTATTGTGATTTCCTATATCATTATCGTTATCACAATTATTGTTATCATTATCACTATCACAATTGTCACTATTGTTGCCACTGTCACTTCTATCATCATCACAAGCTCTTGTAGATTTTGTTAGTTGTAAAACATGACATTGAAAGTAGTTGTTTCCTATTTTTGTTGATTTTTAACAATGTTGGCCTATTTTTTTGTTGTTATTGAGACTCATCACATATTTTCTGTGTCCTAATTGATTGGATTTATAACATCTTGGCCAGGCCTCCATTGACATCACTTTTCTAGATGATTAGTAGTTTTGTAATAAAAACATGATAAAAAAAGATTGACTATTATTATTTAGCTTATCTTCTTGGAATGACTCCTTTTTATTTTTGTCATCATTGTTCTTCAATTTGGTTAAATATATATCCATCATTTTATTGCTTCTTGTCTCATAAGTCTTCTTTGTATTAATTCCTACAATACATGTAACTAGGGTGAAAAGGCCCAAGCCAACCCAATGGCCCGATTTGGCTGACCCTAATTTAACATGTAGATTATTAAGTTATATTTAGATCTAAGGATGGGTTAAGGTCTAAAAAATTGATCCTATCAAAATTTAGGGACCAATTAGGGTCAAACATAACTCATCACTAAAAGTTCTAGCTTATTAACTTCTTTCATTTTATATTTTCTATAATAATGTCAAAACTATTTTTTTTTTATTTTGTGAAGATTGTAATAAGTAACCATCTTTTGATTTACATAATATCATGTATAATAATGAGATACAAATTATTCTTAAATTTTCAATTACATTAATAAAAAGTGACAAACATTTATTACTTATATTTCACGTCAACTCAATCTTATATTAAATAAATGTAGTCCTAATTAATTCAACATATATAAAACATTAGGTTCATCTGGGTCTAGAAATGGATTAGGATGTAAAATTTTGACCAATCAAAGTTTACGAACAAGTTAGGGTCAAGCATAACTTGACCTAACCAGTCCTTAAGCTCATCCTTGCATGTAACACTTATGTCAAAGTGATTAAACATAGATCTTTTGTATTCTTTAAGGTCATATAAGCTTTGTATTTTTTCATATGTAAGATGCTAGAATTTTTTCTAGAATTCTTGAATTAGAAAAGTATATATGTTCTTAATAATGGTACCCTATTAGGTATACCAAGCAATTTATTTGAGTATTTTTTTATTATCAGCAAACAAGGAATATATCAATAGGTATAAGGGATACCAAAACCCATTTACAAGTGATTAAGGTGTGTATTTTTGTTGCTATCGTCCCTTGGTGAGTTATAATTTGAACTTAGGTAAAGGAAAATTAAAAAAATGATATTATCTATGTTTAGTAAGATAGAAAAAGAAGTAACAAATAATATACATATATATAAGAAGAGAAATAAATAAATAAATAATAGAATAAAAAATAAAAGTATTTTAAAATTATTTTTTATTAATTATCTTTTATTTTAATCATTTAAATAAAAAAATTATATAACTTATAAAGAAAACGTATTTAAATAGAAACTTTATTTATTTGAATAAATTAAAAAAATTGCATGAGTAAAAGATTTTTAACGTTTTAGTCGAATATAATTGAATTTTAAATGTATATTATTTATTTTTGTACTAATTTGTGAAAAATAAAAATAAAACGATGTGAATAAGAAATAAAAAGATGTGGTCGCTGACAAATTTTGTTGATACCAAATCAGCTGGTAACTTATATTTTCGTCTTTTGTTTTATCTTTTTAGCGCATGTTATAAAAAATACACGTACATAAGGAATAGTTAATATACATTCACTTATCTTTTAAAATGAATATTATTATAAATCGATTATTTTTGAATAATCCAAATTATAATTATTAAGATATTACTTATAAAAAATAAGCGAATATATATTGACAATTAATCACAAATACTAATTTTAACAATCACGAATCTTGGTGTCTAAGTTACTAAAATGTTATTTTAATTAGTAAGAATATATTAAGAATCCCAAGTAATTTGAACAGTGAAAATAAGTCGAAAGATTTTGAACATTGATCTAAAACAAGTTCTCCATTTTAACAGTGAATCCTAAGGATTCAAACCTTACTGTTTTAGTATAATCAGTCACATCATTGTCTGTAAAGTATTTTAACAAAAAAGCCTTAGTCACTTCAGTTAATAAGGAGCAAATAATACTTTGATGCTGAATACCGAAATAATTGAAAAGAGTTAAAAGTTTTATATTAATAGATAAAAACTGATTAAAAATTATTTTAAAATAATAATAAATTAAAATTATCAAATTAAGTATTAAATCTGATTTAAAAATTTTCAGGATATCAGTTTCAGCTACATACTTTTTTTTTTTATACTAATTTTGCATATACTTTTTTCCTTCTTATGATAAATTTTATGTTAACTCCATGTATGTATCAAAATACTTTTATTTTAGTAAAAGTTTTACTCTATTTTTTATTTATTTTTTTTCACCTATTTTTTCTTATTTATTTTTTATTGTATTTTTTACCTATTTTTTTCTCTCATAAAACACACCATTAAATAATGAAAATAAATAATATGGAGTTGATGATTATTCACATTCAAAAGAGAGAGAAAACACTATGCCCCACCAGAGTTTACAAAGGCAAAGGAAATATAAATATAGCAAGATGGATATGGCAGGTGAGGTGGATTCTAATCTTATATGGGAAGGATTTCAGAATCCTAGCATATCAGGCGAGTGGAAAGTAGTCTCAAACCCTAACAACCGAAAACACTTGATTTTCTTGCTTTGGTATCTTTGCCACCCCAAAAAGATAGCATACACAATGATGAATCCTCTCCACACCAGGTAATGAATAGTTGGTCTTTCAGTTTCAATTTGCTGATTATTCCCTCCCCATGACCTGAACAACCCCAGAAGATCATTAGATCTTGCATGGTCCTATGATGTAGTGATCTTCTTTGTACTAGTCAAGTGAGAAAGAGTAGCAAACACTTGCTTGTTGGGGAGAAAGAAGATTATAAGCTTGCCATGGATGAAAACAAGAAATGGATGCATAAGGAAACCGAAAGACAAAGAAGGCAAGAGATGGCAAAACACTGCACCACCCTTAGATCTCTTCTTCCTATAGAATATATTAAGGTAATAAGCTCTTAGAAACTAGCAATTTTGTTTCTTCATTTTGATTTTTTTTTTTTTTGGATTTTTAGATTCTGTTAAAATACAGACTTAAAAAAAATTAGAATTTTTTTATTAAAAAAATCTCTTTATTTTCATAGAAAATTCTCTCAAAAGCCAAACTCTTGAACTCGTATTCAAACAACTCTTAGGAGTAATTGAAATTTGAAACTCACTAGTCATTTGGGGGTGCTTTTGTTGCATATATATCCTGATGGCTATCATTAGGGAAAGCGCTCAATCGCTGATCATGTGTATGAGGCTATGAATTATATCAACCACCTACAAAATAAGGTGAAGCAATTGCAAGCAAAGAGAGATGAGTTAGCAAAGGTGTCTAATTTGAGTAATGTTGGTCCTGATGAGAAGGAAAGCTCTAGTACTACTAATCATCTTCCACCATTGGTTTTTGTTCACCCTTTCCCTGGAGGCCTTGAGATTATGTGCAGTTACAGCTTCAAGAAAAGTGTGTTTCCTATGTCAAGAGTGTTGGACATTCTGCTTAAAGAAGGCCTTAACGTGGTTAGCACTACTTCCATCAAAAGAGATGGTAGATTTGTACACACTATTCAATCAGAGGTATCATGTCAGTTTAATTGTCACTGAGTATTATGGTCACTGGTTTTGAAACTGATTATTATTATTCTTTTGTGTAAACTGATTTTGAAGGATCCATTTCACCCGAATATGATTGCCACTGATTACTCTGAACTGCAAATAAAGCTTATGGAGGCAGTATCATTTTCAAGTAACAACTGTACTATAAAATATTTTGTGCATGACACAAGAATTTTGTTTATGTTTTCTTTCTTCTGAGTATTCATATATAGTACAATAATAGTTACAATTATTTAACCATTTGCAGGTTTGCAAGAGACTTTACCTGAACCTGAAAATTGCTAATATGAGAAAAGTTTTATTATTACGTGATGATTCTGATCGCATGTACTATTAACTTGAGTGATTTGTACAGCAGTGTACTTGTTATTTATATATGCCACAATTGTTGGTGCAGTACAAAGGGTAGTTAATTAATTGATGATTCAATTTCTTAGTACTCCTCGAGGTCTTTGATCTTTTTCGAAGTGAGACCGAAGTCATGGATAATCATAGTGATGTTCAATGCTTTGTGTACGTTTCTGCATTTAATTAACTTTTGTGCACATTACTTGTTTTTCAATAACCACATCATAAAATTTAAACTTCCTGTGGTTTATGCTGGCACTACTTTACTTCTTCTGCATCATGACAACAAGTGTTAGAATGTTCTTCATCCGTTATCGTTTCTTCCACTTCAGTTCCTACAATAATTGTAGCTTTGATACTTGATAGTGATACTTATGACCAAGTATGTTTTTGGAGTCATTGTGATGTACCACGATTGAAATTGTAGTTGCATGGCTGCATTTGTCCGTAGTTTTATTCGATATCAAGGATTGCAATGAAATTCTAACCATAACTTAAAACCTTTTCTCGACAAAAACTTAATTGGGGAAACGCATAGACGTGTGTTCATTCTTTGTTTTAGTTTTAGTACATTTCTATTGCAGTCTTTTATGGCAAACGTTTGTTTTTCTAATAAAGATACTTTTGAAATTTCTTTTTCAACCAAGCAGACCATATTTAAAAAGACTTTGACCTTTAATAGAAAAGAAGAGAGCATGCTAAATTCTAAACTATATTTCGGATGAAATATATTAATTATAAATTCATTTGTATTTCTATAAGGAGCTAAATCTCTAGGATAAAAATCATTTGAGTAGATATGACAATATGCACTTCTATACATCAGTGATGCATGAGAATACCCTTGAGATCTTGAGGATTTTTGCTGTTAAAACTATGTGAACCGACTCTTTACTAATATATAGATAAGTTGGTGGAAAGATCATGGAAGAAGATACAGACACATATGTACACAAAATATAACTATTAAAGAGACACATCATAGAACCAATGGAAGAAGGTATAGGCATCTAGCTAGTGATTAAAAATATTATTAAGATATTGCAATAATAACATTTTAAAATTACGGAAGCAGCCAAGCAGAAGCAGGTGAACTTTATAGCGCTTAATTAGTACAAAAACAAAAGGAAGACTACTATTGAAACATAATAAAATTCAAACTTGCGGTTTTAAGAAACTCCTATAACGCATAATTGCAACAGATAGAAGAATGCATAATTGATTCGGAGAAATTATAATTTATTTTTTAAAATTACAAGCATCCCTGCATGCAGAGGCCAAACAAACCATGTGTTGACCCTACACTAGGCGTAGATAATAAAAATTAATATTTAATTATTTATATGGAGTGTATAATTTTTTTTTTTTTTATATTATAGCATAGTATTGAAGGAAATATCTATTTATTTTATCAGAAGTTAATCTCTCTTAAAATCTGATTGTATTAAGGTTATTCTCTCAATGTTGATGGAGTATATAATTTGATACAGTTATTGAATTTAAAGCATTATTTATTAACTCTAAAATTATTAATTATAGTCATTGAGGGAATTGCAGTATAGAATTTCACATTGGCTTCTTTTCCATTCATTCTTTCCTGTATTTTTCTGGATTGGGCAAATGGGCATAGATGCGCTACAGCCTGTGATTCAACATGTGGTATATGATATAACTCAAGCCATAATATATTGGTCCTTCCCATTATATTGCACCTGATCACAAACCGTTATGAACATGATCTATTCAAATTTCTTTTTAGATTTTTCATAATTCAAAATTTAGTTCAAAATAATTTCAATTGAAGTGGTTGTACTCATGGTATATATCCGGGTCCATTGTGCAACAAAAGACTTGGTCGTGAATCAAAGCAACTATATTTAACGGATATGAAACCCAACAATATCCCATTACGCAATTATTTTATTAATATATTATTAGGAACTCCAAATTCAAAATTCTAGTTCTAACCACTGGATCAGTATCATTATAGGAGGGAAGCGAAGATATGACAACTAAGCTAATCTTAGCTACAATGCTTTAAAGACATTAATGTCGACAGCATCTTCAGTATTTGTGGTCTCATGTCATAAAGTAGTGTCCATATAGCTTGTATGATATCCTGTTATCTATCCAAATCTTCTCAAAGCAAACAAATATAAACAAACTAGTATATGTTTTCTAATTCGAACAATATATCTTCCTTCATGATGAGCTTCCTTTTCATGTTTTCCAAAAATAAAATTCTAGCTTTTTCATGACTGAATAATTTAGCAGTTTCCTCCCGCAGTCCTGCAAATTCAATGTAATTGTTTTGAAAAAAGTCATATATATTAACATTATAGTTTTTTCCATGTTGCACTATAAAACAATTCGTAATTAGTACATAATTGTGGCTATTGTCATGTGGGGGTTAATTAATATTAAGCTTACCCATATCAGATTTGGATGTGCTGGTATATATGACCAAAACACAGGGAAAGAAATTCGGTCCACAAATAGTGAATTTGAATCAGAACTAGATAGGCGTAGCAGGTAGCTAGTCCCTACTAGTCCACTACCATATTAATTGAAGAGTAGTGTCTTAGGTCACAATGGATATCTTTGGATTATTGATCCAAATTAAGCATCTCAATCACCTTTATTACTATCTTCGTCGATTGTATTTAAGTGAGCAGCATGGGGGACAAATTCTTCCATATATATGATGGGAAAGACTAGAGGTAGGTGGGGATGTATCTCTAAAATAAGGAAAGTCCAAAGAATAGTTTTAGTACCCCTAACAAAATCATGATTTATCATATATATCTCGAATCTTCTTGCAACCTCATCACTTTAATATTCAGATAAACGTGTTGTTACTCTTAATCTAATGCATTATTATTAATATATATAACTAAATGTTTTCAGGATTATAGAGATATAAAATATCTTAATGCAAGGTCGTTGTACCAAAAGCAATGTGCTGTATGACTTGAATACAGTTCGTATCAAATTCAAATAAGTAAAAGCTGTTATATATAATTGCCTGGATGTCATAAAAGACTAAGTAAAGATTCCCACAATTTTTTGTGGATTAACAACTGTAGGTAGCACTTCAAGCTAGAAAAAAAGGGATTAACGATCAAATTTAGTGACTGACAGCAATTTATATCTGTTAGCAATCGATATTACAACCCACTGAGAATATAGAGATAGTGACCAAGTTAATGTTTAATTTTGACTATCAATTTAGTGGTTAAATTGTTCATAGAAAAAAGTAATTAATTTTCTTATAATAAAAAAATATTGTGAAAAAGAGTATAAGGGTACTCCAACCCTTTTACAATGCTAAAGTATTTAGTTTGAGGATTAATTAAGCTATACAACAGAAAGAGTTAATACATAATATGAAAATAAGAACTCATTCCCTTAAACCAGTGTCATGATCTACCTTTAATCAAATCTAAAGTGGAGTCTCATTTCCCATCATTAAACACTATCATTCATCAACAACCATAGAAACTATTATATAATTGCATGCCAAATTAAACAGGAAAATTTTATCTTTTTTCAATTGTAATCTCGTCAGAATGGATAAAAAAGCATCCCTACAAAAGGCAGTACAAAAACTCAAGGTCTAGAAATGTGTTGGAAGATAAACAAAGTCTTACATCTTAAAGAAAAAAGAATATAGATAGGATTATAAAACAAGTAAAATTTTTATTAGTAGGAGAATTTTTGAGTGATGATCAAAAACATATTTATAAGAATTTAAGTTCAAAGTGTTATTTGAGTGAGAATAATGGTTATTGGTAGATTTAATAAATGTTTTTTATTTTAATTTTATTTGAGTAGAGGTGCATTAGATCAATGAGTGCATGTGGAGGGATGATTCTTCGCATCTCTTTATAGTATTAATTTCTTGTGATGGTGCTCTCAAAATATTCTCATTTTACTATTTTTAAAAAGTGTTTGGGTTATCTTGATAAGTCATTTTAGATACGTTGTTTAGTTGTAAAAGAGGAGTATTGTATAAAATAGTGTGTTGTCTGTTTTTATTGAAGAAAATAATAATCACTTATACCTAACTTGTCCAATGACGCCCAACTTTGAAATGCACTTTATGCATGGTTGGGTTATTTTCAGATTTTGCCTATGATATTTTGGCTCGTTATATTCATTTTAGTTTTCATTTAAGAGGGATAAATTTTCATCTTGTTGGTCATCTTTGGTTGTGATATGGTCTACTTGGATACTGTGAAATAATATTTTGCTTGAAGTCATTTCTTTTGACTTCAATGGTAACTTGAACTTGATAAAGGCCATGTTATGGACATGGTTTCCGGCAAAAATAGGCAATGCTAAATGCTCTTTCTCCAAGTGATCTTGTAGCTTCTCTTTATACTCTTTGATTTTGTCTTCTAAGACTACTATTATGGCTGGAGTAGATCTTCACAATACTTCTTAATAAAATTTTGCTATACAATAATAGTTTACAATATAAATAAATAAATAAATAAAAATGCAAAAGAATGTAGGATGACGATTCGTATTTCACATGTAGATCAGATAGAAATTCGAAAGAGTGCGATATAAAGCAAAAAACAAACAAACAAAAACACTATGCTTTTTTGTCTTTCCTGTTGATAATGTATTCATTTTTTGTCTATAAAGTAAATGCAGTAATGATTGGGCCAATAAGTAAGGTGTTATGGACGTATCCTTAGTCTTTATTTTGAACCCAAAAAAAATTGTTTGGGCCTACGAGAGTTTGTCAAACATATTGCATTATACTAAAGATCAGAAATAATGGTTGACAAAAAGAAAAATAAATAATGATGAAGCAAAATTGACAAAAAAAACTGCTGGAGAGAGGGAGAGAGAGATGTTGAAGCTGTGCTCATCATAATTCTCATTTCCCTTGAGTTCTCATAAATTGAATCAGGTTTGGGAAGAGAAAATAAATAAATAAATAAAATAACCCATCAAATTAATGAAGTTTTAAGACAGGTTAGATTAAGCGACAGAAATGCTAGCAGCACGATTTTCAATCCAACTTACTATAATCGAGTTAAAAGAGGTAAAATTATTGGTTGTATATGATTAATGCAAAAATAAATAAAAATCAACAAGAGAGAATTTATTTTCGTTTTTTCTTACAAATATAAAAATTCTTTTAATTTATTTTAAAAATAATATCAATAAAATTAAAAGAAGAATAAAATAAAATAAAATAATGAGCTTGGTTGAATTA